TTTAAAGGAAAATTAGACTGCAAGCATTTCACAAAGATCAAATCGACGATACCTTGAGACAGAAATATTAAAAAAAAATACCCTCAGGCGATAATATAAGAACTGCAACATAAATGGGTATTATCGACAGCTATATACCCTAACATGCCCCCAGAAAGGGCATTTTACATCTCAAGGGGGTATTTTGCCGTGAATATACCCCCTTCTCGCCTAAAATACCCCTTTTAATCCCCTACAATTTTGACAGTGTATATAGACTCTAAGACCCAAGTAAGTTAAGTCATTTATTGTATTGGATATAATTTGTATGACGAATAATATTTACACTTCACCAGGATCCCAAGTTTTTCTTATAAGTGCTGTGATCCAAGTCGACTTTTGTTTTACTTATGTTCCGGGATTCCTCTATGTGGTTTCTGATCCTCTTGATAATATTGTGTTCTACCAGCATCTGTAACTCCTCTATAAGCATTCTGAACCCAATGAAGAGAGTTTTGCTTTACTTATACGGTTATACCCTAAGTGCAGATGATAAATTCGGGGTCTAAGGAGTCATGTGCTGCTTGTGTGATGATGTAAAGGCAACGTACAAAATCAGTTAAATTGCTTCTTGGAATTGGAGCGTCACACCAGAGATTATAGTGTTGTTACGTAAACCTCTGAGAGAGAGAGAGAGAGAGAGAGAGAGAGAGAGAGAGAGAGAGAGAGAGAGTTTGATATTTACTCAACTGTTTGTACAGAAATTCTAAAAACAAAAGAATGAAGCAGAAGTGACTCATTTTCATACCCGGATATGGTACCTTTAACCAAACAATAGCTTCCCTTAACCTAACCTAATCCAGTATACACATATCTAAGCCAAATCCAAGTGATCATTTTCAGGTGTTCAGTTAATGACGTCATCACTGTCTAACCAATCGGGAAAGGACTTCCTGTACGCCAATCAGAAAATCAGTTAGAAGACGACATTCTTACCTAACAATTCTTTTTGATAAATGTAATAATGTTTAAAATATTTTAGTTATATTAAGCTAATTAAGTGACAGGAAATCATGTATTAATATCCAGACATGATCTTAAGCAAAAACACATTCTCCCGGCCACGATACGATGCCATCAAGAGTGACGTTATCAACTCAGTCACTTGTGGACAAAACACTATGAGGTTTCGTGATGTTTTGTATTTAAGTTGTTCAGTTTAATACTATCTCTAACCTTACCTGCCTCTTACTTCACCTAACTCAACCTATACCTATAACCTAAGCAGATATATCACCTACACAACCCGGAGGTATTATATAACGTTTTTTTGTCCAATGAAAGAGGAGAACCGGGTTATGGATGATTCATTCTTACCTGTGTGGAAACTTATCACACAACACCTGACGTACAGACATACACAGACACGTCCTTGCTTCTCCAAAACGCACACGTGTATTGACTAACGGCGCAGAGTTCTCGTTGACTCTAGGAAGGAACTGACGATGAAAGTTGTAGGAGGTAAATGTACCTCAAAACATGGATAAACCAGCATTTTATTTTCCCTATTTTACCCAACCATAAAAAAGCTGAGGTTATTGTTTTTATATTTTATTACAACAAAGTCCTAATAAAATAAAAAAAAAACAATACCCTCAACTTTTTATGGTTGGGTAAAATAGGGAAAATAAAATGCTGGTTTATTCATGTTTGTTTATGTTGATTGTCTTCTGCCTAACTCGCTTTATTAATGATTTTTATTTTATTTTACGTATTTGTGATGTTAATGCTGCAATGATGGAAGTGTGTGTGGAGAGAGAGAGAGAGAGAGAGAGAGAGTCTATTGTTGATTCCCTCCCATCCTGTCGCCTTTTAAATCTTTTCATCCATCTCTCTCCTGTTAATTCCTCTCTTTCTTAAGGTTTCCGTATCTCCCCCCACGAGAGGACTAAATAAACATATAAAAAGGAAGACAAAATAAAATATATTAAACAAATGACTCCGCCATAATGAAAGTGGCATGGAGAGACAGTGGGAAATAAGTGGAGCCTTTACATCCTCGTCTTGGCCACAAAAAAAAAGAGAGAGAGTTTCCAATAAAAATGGTTAGAGGGATTGTAGGACATAAGTGTACATCGATCAACAATGCCACTGACACACACATTTAGAACGTTTCTTTTGGTTATGACTCACACAGACTATGCAACAACTGACTCACACAGACTATGCAACAACTGACTCACACAGACTATGCAACAACTGACTCACACATACTATGCAACAACTGACTCACACAGACTATGCAATAACTGACTCACACAGACTATGCAATAACTGACTCACACAGACTATGCAATAACTGACTCACACAGACTATGCAATAACTGACTCACACAGACTATGCAATAACTGACTCACACAGACTATGCAACAACTGTATTTGGTATCTAAACGTTTTTAGTTGATAAGAAATTTGGGTTCACATGAAGATTAGGAACTCTAGTTTATTTCATCTAATGATTAACCACTCAAATGTTAACCTAATCTAACCATATCTAATTTAAACTAACCAAATCTAACCACATCTAAACCTAACCTAACCTACCCTATATAGCACTAGGGTGTCTATTCATCAGGTGAAATAAACACGATTTTCTAATACTTTTGACACTCGAAAATTCAATATTCCTCAATGGATGAAATTAGTTTTTGAAGCACTAGAAACTATTATGTCGCCCGTACTAGATTTTTCACCATAGAATCACATGAAGAATAAGAGGAACCCCCCGGCAGTCATGTCACCTGATGCTTAAACACACCTGGACACCAATCAACGTGTAATGAAAACTGAAGATATTTGTGGATTATTTAAACTGTTTTGAGATTATGTGAAGACAAAAAAAAAAAAAACACTCATTAGGTGGGAGTTCTACAGAAGGTGTGACTATTTGAGTATATTGATAATATTTTCCTTTAGCAATGATCGACAGAGCAATGATCGACAGACGTGATATCAAGGTACAGTAACCAAGTACCTTTAGTAACTGACTATTATAATACTATAGTTGTTGAATGAGGACTAAATTGTGGGATAATTGTTTAAAAATCATTTGTTTCCTTATTATTGTAAATATTTTCCCACCTAGTACAGGGTGGCCGGAAAAAAAAGCAGACAGACAGACAGGCAGACACAAATACAATTTTTCCCATTTCTCGTTCACATTCACTGATTGCCTTGAAGCTGTGGTCTGTTATTGTACTTTCCCCTTCCACACCAGGGCCTCAAATCTAGTCCACTCCAGGTTTTTTTCATTCTTTAATCTTTCAGTAATCTTTAATAAATCCACGAACGCTTTATATAACAACTTTGAATAATTTAGCGTCAAAGAATAAAGGCATAATTTTTATTTATTTATTTATTTATTAATCACTACTGTTTTCTAGAATTCCCCAAATTGTTCCCCTAATTACTCGAAGCTGTTGTTGTTGTTGCTGTACCCTCACCCGCGTGGTTAATCTTTCCTCAAGCTGCCAGAACTGATTTAGGTGATGGACGGATCTTCCTCAACACTGACATTTTTCTCAACCTAAGTTCCCTCAACAGACTCGTTTTCGTAATGGGCATTGATGATTTTCGAGTATCTATAGCATGTTTGATATTTGGTTGAAGGAAAATATAAGGGAAATAATAATATGGTGATTTTGAGTGGATGGGAAATCAGGACGTAGCTTAAACTAATACAAGAATAAAAAATATATGAAAAAAACCTTACCTAAACTAACCTTTATTTATCTAAACAAACCTTAACTTACCCAAATTAACCTAAATAAACCTTAACTTACCTAAACTAACCTAAACAAACCTTAACTTACCTAAACTAACCTAAACAAACCTTAACTTACCTAAACTAACCTAAACAAACCTTAACTTACCTAAACTAACCTAAACAAACCTTAACTTACCTAAACTAACCTAAACAAACCTTAACTTACCTAAACTAACCTAAACAAACCTTAACTTACCTAAACTAACCTAAACAAACCTTAACTTACCTAAACTAACCTAAACAAACCTTAACTTACCTAAACTAACCTAAACAAACCTTAACTTACCTAAACTAACCTAAACAAACCTTAACTTACCTAAACTAACCTAAACAAACCTTAACTCACCCAAATTAACCTAAACAAACCTTAACTTACCTAAACTAACCTAAACAAACCTTAACTTACCTAAACTAACCTAAACAAACCTTAACTTACCTAAACTAACCTAAACAAACCTTAACTCACCCAAATTAACCTAAACAAACCTTAACTTACCTAAACTAACCTAAACAAACCTTAACTGACCTAAACTAACCTAAACAAACCATAACTTAAGTATGAAATCGTATAAATGTACTCAAGTCCCTAGAGATTATATTAAGGCAGTCCTGTTACCAAGGAGATGAACAGTACAAGTGGAGTTGTGTTAGCACGAGGTTGTGTTAGCTTACTTAACAGTGGTTTTAAATGAGACAAATTTAGATTTAGGCGTGAGAAAGGTAAACATTGGTTTGGAAATAGAGTAGTGGATGAGTGGAACAAGTTACTAAACACCATCATTAACTCGAAGACGCTGGGTAGCTTCAAATATAGGTTGGACGGATATATGAGCGATAGGGGTTGGGTGTAAACGGGTCTGCCCAGTATGGACCAATAGGCCCGCTGAAGTTTCCTACATTCTTATGTTCTTATGTGTGTCGACAAAATATACACATATACTCATGCTAATCATACTCAAGTCCATGTAGATATAGAATGAAAAAGTACACACACACTCACACACAAACATTTAATAAGTACAGTGCCCCCGCCTAGTTTTACACACACAATATAAACGGAAACGCTGACGCACACATTATAACAGTTGGCCCTAAATGACTCCGTTACACTGTGACGTAACGCTCCAATCAATGTTTCCAAACAAACGTAATATTATGAAAGAAACCCACACAAGCATATAACATACTGCTTACCTTGTTGCGTGATGTGAAGTAACTCTGTTGCTTGATGACGCTCTTACACACAAGAGCTGTGTTATGGTATCTTAATAGTGCACAACTAAGTTATCGATCTCCCAGACTACAGCCAGTCGACTGACAACTGAACTGAATACTCAGACTCTGAGTAGTAAGGGCTTCCCCGTGGCCAGTTGCCAGTTGCAGTTACCAGTTCATATATATATATTTTTTTTAATAATTAGAAATCCTACATCACAGGTAATTTCACTCTTAATGAAAAATGTAGATAGCTTACGTCTTTTTGTCATGGGATATCATAACGTTGGTCTAGACGTTTAGTGCTGATGGACAGTACATTGTATCAATTGATGTGACATTAATTAATTTATTTTGATAGCTACAGGTAAATAGTCGATGTTAAATTTCTTCTTTATTCTGTATCTACCAAAAGCCCTTTTTTTACTGTGACCTCTGCATAACAAGGGGTCATCAACCGAGGGATATTGTTATTCAATGTGAGTTAAGAGACGTGTTAATACTAAAGCTCTCTAGTTGGCAATACTGAAATGATTATTGTTACACGCTGCAACATCAACAATTGAGACATGGGGTGGGAGGTGAATGTGTGTTATCCGTATGAATAGATGAATGACTAACCATACTACTTTGTATACTGAAATAGATACATATAAAAGTAAATAAATAATCAGTTTATGGAAACAGACTAAATGAATGAATAACTATAAATTAAAAGTAATGGAATAACTTATAAAACTATTCTTGTGTACCATAAAACTAAAACCTAACTGATTATAAAACGCCTTTAACTTTCTTTGAAGACTCGGTTTATATAAACTACAATCAATTGGGGTCTTAACAGGTCAGTAATGTTCTCGTAGAAGGTCGTTGTTAAGTAGAAGCTAAATGATTTATGACTTGTTTATTTATATCAGCAGACGACACAAGCCCGCATAACCTAAACGATCACTTTCTTACGTTAGGTTTGCTTGTGTGGTTAACTGTCCTAAGTTGTTTTTTATCCCCAGATGTTACCCTTACAAGGACTAAGGAAAATTACTAATGCACTTTTTGTTTCTAAATATTCAAACTCTCCAAAACGCAACCGTATGAATTCATGTTTTATTATTCCAAGGTCATTTTTTATTCCTATACCGATGTTTCCTGTGTGAGAGATTTTCTGTTGATTATTAAAGCATATGGAGAGCTTTCAAGAGGTATTCCCATTATAGACAACCCAGATTACGTGAAGATTAAGCACCCTAGCTTATTTCACCTGGTGATTAAACACCCTAACGATAACCTTACCTAACCTACTCCCTCCAGGTAGCGTTGAAATACTTATATATACGATGAAATAAGCTGGGGTGACTAATCTTCATGTTATCCAACAATACTACTGATTATGCTTGATGACAACAACAACAACAACAACAACATGGGTCTGTATTTGTTAATATTTCCCGTAATGTTTTTTTTAGGTTTAACATCAAGTCATCTGTAGAAGGCTTTACAATTATCAAAATTTTTGTTTGTTTTTGAGGTCTTGAGTCATGAGTGCTTGATGAGGTAGGTTTAAAGTGTGAGTTCTGTGCGTGCGGCTAAATAACAATATTTTTAGTTTGCAGGATAATTTCTTGCTGTATTTTATGCGAATTTCAATATATTCAGGGTAATTTTTTGTAACTCTCATTAGGTAGTTAGTTGTTAATCCATACAGACTATTATTATTATTTCGTTCATTCTCATTACATGATAAGGATAAATAAAACACAAAATAACAATAGAAAATTATAAGTTTTGTTGTCATCAACCTTTCGACATTTTATTTACATCACAAAGTTTATACTGGCCTACATAATGCTAAAATCCGAAATGATGAAATACAAGGGTTACCACTTTTGACAATGATGGTTAAACCAGGTTGGAGTATTGAAGATGACGTAGAGAAGAAAAGAAATGTATTAAATCATGAAAAGTGATGATGGGAAATACAAAAAACAAAAACAAAAACACACAAAAGAAAAACAGAGATAAAGTGAGGTTGAATTGTCTAAGTAATAAAAGAGGTTAACCATGTAACTTTCGAGTCAAGCGATGTGAGTTAAATGACAAGGGACAACCAGTGTGTGTGTGTGTTCCTGCAACATAACAAATATTACACCAGAAAAAGTGATTCACTAATCTATTCTATTATGGTTATTTACCAATTTACAATACTGTAAAAGACTCCCACACCTCTCGACAATGTTTGGATTTGTTCTTTTTTGTCACGTTCTGCTGACTTGGTTTAACCCAGCAGGTGTGATGTCGCCCTTCCTTGCTCAGCAGGGCGCGATACGCTTACAGTACAGAGCCTTAGTTGCTGAAGCCCCATCCAAAAAATTCACTAACATAACATCTTCACTCAGCAAGAAGTGAAAGGGCAGATTTGTTGAGAGGTTTGAGGATAAGTTAAGAGAACCCGAAGGAGAGTTTTATGTTCCCCTGTGCTAAAGTGTACAACAGAGAAGAACGAGTGGTCACACCAGAGACAAGCATAGTTTCCATTCTTGAGCTTTTACGTCTGACTAGTGTAGCTGACATCTTGATCCATACTCACAAAAGTTCGTATGAATGAATTTTCCTACATAACTGATGATTAAAAAATGCGTCTATACTGAAACTTTAAATTTAACTAGATACGTTTACATGGTATTAGTTAGGTTACAAAATTAATATAAAGAATCTTTGGAAATATTCTTTACCTTAATTTTGTTTTCTGTGTTTAAGTTTATTAGTTACGCGCATTCTAAAACCTTCATTGCTCGAACCTTTGTGAACCTGGACCCTGAATCTTCGGTACACCAGTTTGAGCTTGGATAACAAAGAAAGTCTGATGATTAAATACAAAACCTAAAATAAGACTTTTAGGAATAATAAAACCGATTTTGGATCTAAATATCGTGAAATAGGATGATGTTGGCGTATAATTAGTGCACATTTTTCATGATAGAACCACATTCGTCTATAATCAATAGTTAGGCTGTCTTGTTGCCCATATAAGCGTATTGACAAGTCTGTGTATATTGCCATGTTTCTTCAAGACTGAGGCAGACACATTTAGTTCACATGTTATAATTAGATAGTCACAATTACTACCAACACTGTTCAGCCTTATTGGTTTGAATTAAGTAAGAGTCATACAGACAGATTGACAGGCAGGTACAGTACAACAACTCTGTAATGTGTTGAAGAGCGCTGACAGTCATAAAGGGGGGTTGGATGAATAGCGTGTCGAAGTGGATCCTCTATAAAATATACATTTGAGCAGTACTTACAAGGCGTTCAGTCCTGTGATGCGTATCAATAGCTTCTTGTTGGCATCACTCACAACATTCTTCTGTTCACCACAAAGCTTAAAATGTTTTTTTTTTATACTGAATCAATGTTTGTTTTCCTGATAATAATCTTATCTATGGCGCTTGGACTCATTACCTGACAGCGTGGGAAGCATTAGACGCTCCGGCGACTTACATCGCTTATCAACTGGCTTGGAGTGCCTCAAAACCACTAGTATAGTTATTTTTTATTATAATTTATTCCACTGTTACCGAGATTAATTTATTAATTTTATTCACTATTGATTCTACTCGTAATCATTACCCATTATCAACACCTCTTGCATAAAAAAAAAAAAAAAAATGGAAATTTATCTTTATATTTACATGTAACTCAATTCTCTCTTCACCCTTTTTATTTAAGACTGCTTGAGCATGTCTAGTCAATAACAGTGCAAAAGTCACAAACGAGTGCAAAGGAAGTATAACAGGTCTGAGGACGTTCTATAATATTCTCAATCTCTCGTGTTTGATGTGTTTCTTGAGCCTTGGGGAGTTAAATTCACTGAAGGACCATAGTGTGTGGAAATAACAGTTTAATACACGTAAAGAATAAAAAAAAACATATTGGGCGGAAGGGGACCAGAACATTTTATAAATTTGGTAGAGTTAAACCTTTACTGATAGTATACTACTGACACAAACCAATTGGGTCATAATTGTTCATAAACTCTTAAGGTTAAAGGGATGAAATTTTATCACATTCGCCAATGATTGACTATTTAAGTATTCATATAAAATCCTGCCAAATATATTCATTCAAATGTTAAAATGAAAGACTCTGGATAATCGATTTTTTTGGAGGGGTGGGGGGTGTGGAGGATGAGAGGTGGGGGTGTGTGGGAGGTAATTGAAATAATCCTAAAATATTATTGTTTTTTTTTCCAGGAGTTATGATACAAATCTGAGAAAGAAAAATATTAATGAAAAAAAAATAAGAATAACAAGAAGATAAAGGATGAAGATCGTGAAGGATATAAATCACATACACACACACACACACACACACACACACACACACACACACATCCACACACACATACACACACACACGTACGTATAACCACTCCTCAGCAAGTTACATAATATAGATCATCCATTACACTATAGCAGCAGATGCCACATGTTAAGCACAGCTACAGGTCTCACATGATCCACGTATAAAGAGGTTACAGGGTTGAAAATCCCAAATATATATCATGTTGACGTCGGCTGTTGTTACTAGTACTGCCTGGGACTTTGGTCGGAGAAGCGATGCTCTGCTGAACATATATATTATATTCATTAATATATAAATAACACAGTGTCTACGGGGGAAGCCTAATTAAGCAGCTTAAATGTGTATGGCTGAATGAGTATCATATGAAACAGCATTTATATTCCATTGCTAAGGTTTACTACGCTTGTCGGGAGGAAATCCTACGGCAGTAATTTATATGACCTAAATGTAGCTAATAATACTATCTTGGGTTAAACGTCTGCCCGATATATAAGACTCTCTGGAAGTCCTTGGCAGAAGAACACGGGATGTGGAGTTGGCAATGTGGATATTGTTGAGAAATTACCACCAACAGGACCCTTAAGGCCTAAGCCATTTATGTAATTATTATTTTTTGTTTTGAAAGCAGACGACACGATAACACCAAACCAAACCTAACGAGAGCTGCCTTTGGGAGGTTGGTTAGAGTAAGTTTGGCTAGATACGTCAAGTCTGGAAGTTTTTGGTCTTAACCATATCATTGGGTTGGCAGTCCCGTTCGTGGTACACTTCCAACATGGTAGCTCTTGTGGGAAGTTGAATCGAGGTATGACTAGCCTAAACCAAGAGGACTTTTACTGGGTGTAAGTATCCCAGAGTTGTGGAGAGTAAAAGTCTGCCTGTGGTCGAGGAGCGCCCTCACCATACCGCTCCCAGGGGCTTCAGAAAGTACCAAAACGAAGAACAACTATGTATATATATATATATATATATATATATATATATATATATATATATATATATATATATATATATATATATATATATATATACAGTATATATATATGTATATCAGGCTATAAAATATTGACAATATTATACAAATACTCACAATGCTATAAATATCGGTTTAGTTTACCAATAAGTGGGAGGAAATGGTGACGTCTGAGCTTCATGTCAACAGAGAAGAAAACGTCACCTAACTCATTTAATTTAATTTGTATATCAAACAATTCATTTCAAGCGTATTTTATGCCCACTACTGATAAAGTCTAAGTGATATTGTCGATGTCTTCACTAATTTCTTATAAAAATGTACGACAGATGATGGTCTTGAATTCACAGTGTCACTTCCATTAGCTTGGCGTCCCACGAGACTGTACAAAGTTGTCTAATGTTGTAGTGGGACAGAGTCACAGGCACGAGCTACAAACAATGAAAACATGGTAACTCCAATGTCCTTATATTGTTACGTCATTAAACCTATCAACCAATGAGACGCTCCCAGTCCAGCCATACGAGATTTTGATGTAAACAAAAACTTTGCTTGAAATACCCCACAACACACGCGATAAAAAGCAAAAAAAATCTTATTACCTCATTTTTCACTTCCCTACAGCTGAGAGTCATGAGTTATTGTCACGAGAATATTCAACAAAAAAGGTATCCAAAGCTTGTCATGTACAGCGAGTTCTGGGCAGCTGATGATTGTAGTCACATTGGGTTAAAATCTTACACTGGTACAGGGTCGGTGTCAAGCAGTGGTCGTGGGTAGTGAGGCGTCTTAATCTTGACCTGATGACAAGGTGTTCCTGAAAGAGATAACTTGGTATAATAACTTAACATACGAGTGTTTTATGTGCAAGAAATGTGCGGTAATATAAACACTCGCTCTAAAAAGTATCTTTACGATTTTGTGTGAGACAATAAAGTTCAACGGACGAAGGATTTTTGACAAATCTAACGAGACAATGGATCCCTCCGTGAAGATACCTTTTGCAGGGAAGTACACCTTGCTCACCTGTCTTTATTATCGGCAAGATCAGAAGTAGAGTAGTTTTTGAGCTCTTATGTGTCTTCATGACGCAAAGAACGTGACACCATACAACTGAGAAGTCATCGTTTTCCGAGTCCCCACACGATTACTACTGACACCACCTGGCGAATCCTCGTTATGAAGGTATCAAGCACTGAGAATCTCTGAAATGCCCCTTTCTTGGCATCCATCAGTCATATCACAATTGTTCCTGGCAAAAATGAGTTCAGGCCAGAAGGCAATGAAACTTACACTGGAGAGGGATGGTTCCCAACTGTTCTCGCCGTATTACGCTGGAGTAAAGTAAGGGGGTGGGGGAAGGGAGGTCTCCGAGTGGCAGCTTCACCAGCAGGGGTAACGATGGCAAGTCTCCAGTCGCCGGCATAAAATGTGACACAGGTTAAAAAGGGTGAGGCGTACCCAAGCATACACAACCACCAAGCATCAGCGTTCCCCATTGGCCACCACACCCCGCGTGGACTCTAGAGCACATAGAAGCACCAGTACACTGTGTTGAAGAAGACGAAGGAGAGTGGAAAGATCAATCTGGAATACTTGTCGATAATGTTAACATCTTTGATGGTGGGGATGGCGCCCTTGATGGCCGAGGCCCCCTTTTTGAGGGTGGAGATGACGCGCTTCCTGTTGGGGGCCCGGGGAGCGTGGATACTGGAGCGGGTGGGGAAGGAGTAGTTCCTGTTGATGCGGAAAGACGGTGGGAACTTGAGATCTTGTAGGGATCCTTCACTCGAGAAGAACTTGGAGTTGTGTCGTTGCCTGCAAAAAAAAAATGTAACTGATTTTTGTTCATCGCCGTTGTCGTTTATGACCGAACTAAGGATGTACCAAAACCAGGAAATGAAAAATTACCTGCGTATGAAGCAATAATGTGTAGGTTTAAGACTAATTAACCAAACTATACTAACATCTCTTCATAATCCTGAGAAAAGTTTACATAAATAACATAAGGAAAATCATTAAAAAAAAACATATGTACTACGAAAGGAAGTCAGTACCTATTTTTTTTTATTTACCAAGTGAACATTATAGTGAGCTAACATGTTTCTCGGTGGTGCATAACATGAACATAAAACACTACTGAAGTTAAGGATTTATTGACACTGGGAGGACCTTCATCAAAGAAGCTACCACCTGGTATTTATATCTAAAACACATTCACAGGAAGAACAAAAGATGGTTTATAAATGCATCAGTGTCTATGAAATCCTGAATAACCAGGCGCGATGTAGCAGCTTACTGTTTACTTTTAGCCACAGACATAGGCAAAACACCCTCTCCACTGTCAGATAAATTTACCCCTAAAAGAAGAATTTAGTCGTTTTTCTCGGAAGATCTTTCACGCACTACAATTCTCATCTTCCCAACAGCTGCTCTTAAAATATTGTGAGGAAATAACTTAAAAGACAATAAATCAACTCATAAATTCACCAACTGAGGCATAAAATCCAAGTGAAATCTCTCCTTCACATACAGCACAAACCTGTTCCTTTGAGAGAATTTGTGTGACTCTAGAAATATATACACAAACTTTTTTTCTTCATCTGTATCTCGTTAATCCCAAGGTACTGTAAGTTTGGTCACTGTGTATTCCTCTTCCCCATTATCAGTCGTTGCTTATTCTCATTTCTACCCCGATAAAGTAAATAAAGATAACTAAATATGTAAGAGTAATTAACGAACACAATAGCTTTCTGATATATGGATAATTATGTAGTTCTTTCGTGATGTTAATTCCTAAAGCGATGACGATAAGTTTGGTACTCTGAGGAGACATTGGCACTCTTAGGGTAAGTTGACACTCTTTGGCACTCCTAGTTATGGTCAGAGAGTTATCAGGTTCACACTTACCAGTCATAGAGACGAGGGGCTGGCTACTGTGATCTCTCTCTTTACTAAAAATTCAGACTCTGATCAGTAGGATGTAATGTTATGATGGATTAAGTTAAGTTAGGTTAGGTTAGGTTAAGTTAGGTTAGGTTAGGTTAGGTTAGGTTAGGTTAGGTTAGGTTAGGTTAGGTTAGGTTAGGTTAGGTTAGGTTAGGTTAGGTTAGGTTAGGTTATGTTAGGTTAGGTTAGGTTAGGTTATTTATACACGTCCTTAAAATAACATCTACAATGGACCGAATTACTATCTAGATTCCCAAAATAGAACATCTCAGGTAACTTAACCTCCCCCCCCAAACACACACACAAAGCAAAACATACATAAACCAAACATAAAACTCTTTTAATAATGTCTAAACTACAGTAACACTCAGAGGTAAGCAGTACTTTCCTCTCTTACCTTAAAGTATAAAAACATCTAGACCAACAGTGTAAAAACTTTGCATAAAATCTACTTTCTCCACTTAGCTGTTGGTTAGGTTAGGTTAAGTGAACTAAATTACGCAAATCGAGCAAAAAGTTTTTATTTAAATAGCATAAAACTCTGATTATAAAATATTAAACCAACTTCAAAACAAATTAAATGCGTCAGCTAACCTTATTAAATATTAAATAACGAAATCTGGAGGAAAAAAAAAATATTCTTCCTCTTGCAGTAGAATTAAAGAAGTGACATATAAGTACTATAACTTCACTATGCATGGGTGGGAGTACATTAGCGTAGAGTAAAAAGGCCTTTAGTGCAGGAGGGAGTGAAATATTTAAGATTTTACAAAGGTTAGTAGACTCCCAAGGTCGGCTGATAGCTGTTACACGTCACAACACTCGGCTGGGTGAAGAATGACTTAAATAAATATCCAAATAGTAAAAAAAGTTAACTTCCACTAATTCTTCAACTCTTTCTCAGATTTACCGTGAATCATCCTAAATCTGAGAATAGAATGATAGCATAGAATGATAACGTAGAATGATAACGTAGAATGATAACATAGAATAATAAAGTAGAATGATAACGTAGAATGATAACGTAGAATGATAACGTAGAGTGATAACGTAGAATGATAGCGTAGAATGATAACGTAGAATGATAACGTAGAATGATAACGTAGAATGATAGCGTAGAATGATAACGTAGAATGATAGCGTAGAATGATAACGTAGAATGATAAAGCAGAATGATAATGTAATATTGTCAAGATGTCTCAGTTGTTGGTCGTGTGTACAGGGAGTTGCCTTTCGTACATCGTAAGAACATTAAAACCTGTAGTTAATCAGTGTACAGTATCTGACTCTCAGTACATGGATATTAAACTGACTCATTCCTCTAGTGATAGTTTCTGTACTGTAGTCACTCCTTTATTATGATTCCTTCACCTGTAAAAAAAACAAAAACAAAAAAAAAATAATCATAATCCTCAAGGGGTTAAAACACATCTTCGTGAAAGGGTTAAACCATCGTCATCAAAGGGTTAATTATTTTACCTGTGTCCCAGTAGCTACACCTTTTCTCACCTAATTGACGGGATAGGTGACATGCGGATATCCTGTAACTCGATAATTTCCTCGTTCGCCGCGATGCCATCTGCCTTAATGGATGGCGACTGCTTGTTTTGTTGACCATTGCTTTCCTTCATCTTCTTGGCCTTCTTCTTAGCACGTTGTCCCCAGTAGGTGTAGTTGACGGCCGCGTACTCCAGCAGCGCAGCGAACACGAACACGAAGCACATAACGAGGTAGATGTCGATAGCCTTAACGTAAGAGATCCTTGGCAATGACGACCTCACTCCAGTACTGATGGTGGTCATGGTGAGCACGGTGGTGATGCCTGCGAACATGGATATGGTGGTGAGTGGTGGTGGTGGTGGTGATGTGGGTGAGTGGTGGTGAGTGATGGTCATTGTGGTGGGGTTGGTGATGGTAGTGGTGAGTAGTGGTGATGTCTGCGAACATAAATGTAGTCTTTAATCCCCAAAAAACCAAAACAGATAAACACAAATAAAAGGAAAAAAATAAAATAAAAATTAAAAATAAATAAATAAAATCCACACAAATTATCTCCCAAATTAAAAAAAAAAAAATGAAACCCACAAAAGTAAAAATGTCTTCGTGGTCTATGTTCGGATTCCACCCTGCTTCTGCTCTGGTCTCATTTATGGTCGAATATTTTTTTTTTTTCACATGTCTGCCTAAAGGAAAGATTACGAGGGAGTATTCATATGTCTCTGGTATTTTGATATTAAAAAGAAATTAGTCTTTTTTTTGGTCATGGTTTTCACATTTTAATTTTTTTTTTATATTTTCGATTTAATACTTCTTTCTTTCTTTCTTTCTTTCTTTCTTTCTTTCTTTCTTTCTTTCTTTTCATCTATTTATTGCTCTATCCTTCATCTATCCAGGACAACACACAAGGAGGTACCAGGGACTTACAGTCATCATAAGAGAGTCAACTTTTTGAAGGATTCAGCGATAAATAAATTGGAAAATAAATTTGTCTCGGGAACATCGCATTAGAATGAAGATAATTGAGACCTCCCACCCCCCCAAAAAAAAGAGAGATGGAGAGAGACAGAAAACTTAATGCAGCGCCCAGAGAGAGAGAGAGAGAGAGAGAGAGAGAGAGAGAGATTAAATATATATTATACACCCACCCAGAGCCACACGGGCGGACGTAGCTTCGTGGTTGATCCAGAAAGACACCCAAGACAGCATCACAATCAAGATGCTGGGTAAGTACGTCTGGAACACGAAGTAGCCAATGTTACGCTGGAGGTTGAAACTGATGGAGAGGCGACGGTAGACCCCCGTGGCCAGCTCTTCGGTGCGGTCGTTGGCCTCGTAACCCATAATGGTGAACTGGGGTAACTCAGCCTCCTCCACGCCTACTACAGGGACGTCCTTCCAGTACATCACTACGTCCGTCACCGTGTACCCATCTGTTGAGGATGTCAAGGATTTAGTGGAGTATTTTTAATAGGGGAAGGGGGACGTGGGGGGTATAGCCCTCTCAATTACATCAACAACCTGCAGTGTGTTTGTGGGTAAAAACTTGATAAATGGGAAGCTTCTGTACCTAAGGGTCTCTGTGGATTATTTGTCTCTGGGTGAAAAACAAAATCTAATACGGCTTCGAAAGTTGAAAATAAGATAAATGGTGTTTTTTTTTATGTGAAAACTCTCTGATAACAATATCTGTGGGTAACATCTTCTGGGAAAAAACAACCTAATTTGGTGTTTTTCTCCGTCAAAAATCTCTCTCATAGGGATACTTTGTGTGTGTGTGTGTGTGTGTGTGTGTGTGTTGCTCCCCCACATTTGACACCAGCACATCAATAAAGAATAATAACACTGAGTCTCATTAAACAGTAACCTTATGCCACCGCCACCACCCCCTCCCTCCCTCAGGCCTTGAACTTCATCGTCTACCATTCAGACAGCATCTCTCGGTCTGGGATTCCGCTCTTGAAACGATCTGACGAGCGAGAGAGTTGGAATATCTCAGCACTGTAGCGTAATCTTAAAACACTCGATTAACGAAAAATATCTAATTTCCTTTATGAATTATTAATGAGGTGCCTTGAGTATAATATAATAGTAAATAATGATAATGATAGTAAATATTGTTGTAAGATATTTGTTTTGAAATCTATTAGCTACCTGATTAAGGATGGGAATTTCTAGTTTAGGATTATTGAATAGTTTGAGAGTGTGGAACAATATACCTTAAGCCATTTAATGAAACACTAGATACTCCATTATTTAAAACCTAACCTAACCTAACCCTCAAATCCCCACTCTTACCTCCATCATCAATCTCATCATCCACCTGTACCTCCACCTACAACACTCAATTTTAACCTCCACAGCCACAACCTCCACTCAGTAGGAGGTACACAGTGGAGGTCAGTTATGTGGATAGCTGTGTGAAATGCCACTCTCGTCTTCCTAAAGCTATTACGATGGAAATGCAGAGGAGAAAAAAATCCGCTTTCTGAAATAATTTTTGACTGAGGTTTCGGCTAGTGCGTTTTTTCTATCTCTCTCTCTCTTGTCTCTCTTTATCTCTCTTCTCTTTTTATCTCTCTTCTCTCGCTCTCTCTCATCATTTGTCTGTCTATTTGTCTTTTTTTCCTGTCTATCTGTTTATCTCTCTCTGTCTCTGTCTCTCTGTCTGCCCGTGTCTCCTCTCTGTCTGTCTGTCTGTCTGTCTCTGTCTCTCTCTCTCTCCATATAATCCGCTAGATGGAGGGTTTCACATCTAATGAACCCCCTGGATATAACGGACTTTCATCTCTTATATAGTTCATTAGATGGAGGTTTCTTATCTAACGGACTCTCAATATAACGGAATTTTTCTCTCTTCTCATAATGACGTAGTTCGTTAAACAGAGGTTTCACAGTATCTGTTATTTGACTGTATTATTATTGTTGTTGTTATTGTTATTGTTGTTGGTGTTATTATTATTGTTGTTGTTGTTGTCATTATTATTGTTGTTGTTATTGTTGTTGTCGTTGTTGTTGTTATTGTTGTTGTCGTTGTTGTTGTTATTGTTGTTGTCGTTGTTGTTGTTATTGTTGTTGTTGTTGTTGGTGTTGTTGTTGTTATTATTGTTGTTGTCGTTGTTGTTGTTATTATTGTTGTTGTTGTTGTTGTTGTTGTTGTTGTTGTTGGTGTTGTTGTTGTTGTTGTTTATTGTTGTTGGTGTTGTTGTTTGTTGGTGTTGTTGTTGTTGGTGTTGTTGTTGTTATTGTTGTTGTCGTTGTTGTTGTTGTTATTGTTATTTGTCGTTGTTGTTGTTATTGTTGGTGTTGTTGTTATTGTTATTGTTGTTGTCGTTGTTGTTGTTGTTATTGTTGTTGTTGTTGTTGTTGTTGTTGTTGTTGTTGTTGTTGTTGTTGTTGTTGTTGTGTTGTTGTTGTCGTTGTTGTTGTTTGTTGTTGGTGTTGTTGTTGGTGTTGTTGTTGTTGTTATTGTTGTTATCGTTGTTGTTGTTGTTATTGTTGTTGTCGTTGTTGTTGTTATTGTTGGTGTTGTTGTTGTTGTTATTGTTGTTGTCGTTGTTGTTGTTGTTATTGTTGTTGTCGTTGTCGTTGTTGTTGTTGTTGTTGGTGTTGTTGTTGTTGTTGTTGTCGTTGTCGTTGTTGTTGTTGTTGTTGTTGTTGTTGTTATTGTTGGTGTTGGTTGTTGTTATTGTTGTTGTCGTTGTTATTTGTTATTGTTGTTGTCGTTGTTGTTGTTGTTATTGTTGTTGTTGTTGTTATTATTGTTGTTGTCGTTGTTGTTATTATTGTTGTGTGTTGTTGTTGTTGTTATTGTTGTTGTCGTTGTTATTGTTGTTGTTGTTGTTGTTGTTGGTGTTGTTGTTGTTGTTGTTGTTGTTGTTGTTGTTGTTGTTGTCGTTGTTGTTGTTATTGTTGTTGTTGTTGTTGGTGTTGTTGTTGTTATTGTTCTTACATCACTTGTACACCTCCCTGGAACACATATAACAATCTTTCCCACACCGACTGCTATAATCGTCTATTTTATCACTTCCTTCAGCTATAAGATGTTCTAGTTTATCCTGCTGGAGGTAAGTAGTTATCAGCACACCTCACCTACCCCTTCAGGAGGCCAGGAAAGAGGAGAATGGCGGGAGGAGAAAAATGGCGGGAAGAGAAAAGTGATAGCTGGTGTTTCCGGCCCAAAGTCGTGAGGTGAAATCCAAGAAATAAATCCAGACTTGAGAATTTGGTGGATTTCGTGAGGCGAGAGTTAAAAGCCCAATAACGGGATTTTGTTTTTTCCTTGACCTAAAACCCATGAGATAATCCCCCATAACCCCAGTGTCTTGAATTTAAGGCATTTTCGTGAGATAAAACCCAAGAGACACCGTCATTCCCTAGCGGATGATTTTCAGGCGGCGCTAAACGTGTTCCTGGGTCTTTTCTGCCTGAGACTCGATACTATTCAGGCAACAATGGCAAATTTTATACAAGATACCGAGAAAAACAAACACAATCGCGATGGTTAGAATTATTATGATTTGTGTGTATTTGCAGTTATTTTGTAAGTCCTCTGTGATCTATTTATTACTATTGTATTTGTTGTTGTTGTTGCTGTCATCATCATCAACGTTAACAGGAGTAAGATGTTATTTCGCGTTTTTTTTGGCACAATGCTCGAAAGATTCACATCACGAGAGATTTAGTAACCCCTTCGATAAGTGTTTACCATCGAGTCTACCAAGGGCTGTTGTAGTCTGAGGCGTTTCCCCTTCATTAGCTACAAGGTCTACAGTATGCTACGAAAAGTGTGAATATTTGTCCAATTTCTCTGGTGACGGTCGATTTATGATTTTTTTTTCGCCATTGTTTTAGCGGAAGTAGAAGCTGTGGTGTCGAGTATTTTAGATTTTTTTTTTGTTAAATTACCCTGGAGACAAAAATTAAAATCTTTATTAATACGTTTTATCAAGATATTTTTTTTTTCGTATTTCTCGTGATAATTTTCTTTCATTTTCTCGTTTATAAACATTCCCACACACCTTCCCCGTCTCTGTTTTAACCCCGTTTTCTGTAATATAATGTACAAACTGATAAACCTTATAATAAAAATAATCAAACTCTGGGTACCTTTGAAAGTTGAAATCCCTGCAATAATTTCCAGTCACGGGGGTCCATTATGTAAATGAAAATCGAGGAATTATGCAGATATTAGTAAGAACGAGAGGAAAAAAAAAAGTTCCCGCGCGGATATTTCGTTCCCAACTGGACTGTCTTGATCAATATGTTAATTTCCACAGTAAATAATTTTGAGTGGGGAAATTTCACTCTTATCAGAAACACAATTATATTTTATTTTTTTGGGGAATATTATTATTTTCATTAAAGACAACAGTGTATTATATTTACTGTTACTTAGCTTAAAGTGGTTCAAAGTCATTTCATATTTCATTAAAAGATTTTATTTATCCTACGAAAAAAAAAGTGACGAAACGAAGAAATTGGTTATTATTATTATTATTATTATTGTGTGTGTGTGTGTGTGTGTGTGTGTGTGTGTGTGTGCGCGTGTGTGTGTGTGTGTGTGTGTGTGTGTGTGTGTGTGTGTGTGTGTGTGTGTGTGTGTGTGTTGTTGGTATAATTGGGATAATAACAGTTAATTAGAGTACACACAGCTGTCACCTCGTCAACTTCGACTCAAATATCGACCCTGGTCTTCCCCAACCCAGAGGCGAGAGAGCGATCACACTGCAATTCTCACCACGTAATCTTGCAATATCTCTACATCAACAGCGATTAAACCATCTCATAACGACATAAACAGGAGCTGATAAGATTGACGATAGAGACTAAGAGTCGAATCACCTTAAATGATCGTTTTCGGGGTACACCAAGGATGTTTTTTGGGCCTCCTCTGTTTATGGTGCAGTGTGATGTATTAGTGGGATGCTTGTATATCGCTGGTGGCTGTTTTGATGATCGGTATTTTTGTAATGATGATGATGATGATGATGATACTGAGATGATGATGATGATGATGAAGATGATGATGATGATGATGATGATGATGATGATGATGATGCTGGGATGATGATGATGATGATGATGATGATGCTGGGGATGATGATGATGATGATGAAGATGATGATGATGATGATGATGATGATGCTGGGATGATGATGATGATGATGATGATGATGATGATGTTGATGCTGGGGATGATTGATGATGATGTTGATGATGAAGATGATGATGATGGTGATGATGGTGATGATGGTATTGAGATGATGATGATGATGATGATGATGATGATGATGATGAAGATGATGATGATGGTGATGATGGTGATGATGGTATTGAGATGATGATGATGATGATGATGATGATGATGAAGATGATGATGATGGTGATGATGATGATGATGATGATGAAGATGATGATGATAATGATGATGATGATACTGAGATGATGATGATGATGATGATGATGATGATGATACTGAGATGGTGATGATGGTGATGATGGTGAACCGCTAGCATCGTTATGCCCAATAGTAAAAACTTATTTTTAGCTAACTGACAGACTGGCTGATGTAACTTTTTAACCGGTCCGTGTTGGCAAAATGTATGACTAACTGTTCATCACACTTTTTGCCTTGAGTATAGTATAGAAAACTCTCAAGACCACGAACACATGGTCAGTGTATGAAGTAGAGCGAGAACACAAACGACTTAAATTGTGTGAACACGTGAACATAACACTGAACAGTATTACCTTTTATAACTCTGATTTATTGTTGTTGTTGTTATTATTGTTGTTGTTGTTGTTGTTGTTGTTGTTGTTGTTGTTTTTGTTTCTTATTATTTTTGTTGTTGTTTATTGTTATTGTTGTTTTTGTTTATTATTATTTTTGTTGTTGTTTATTGTTGTTGTTGTTATTGTTATTGTTGTTGTTATCATCACATATACGCGCTGGAAGAGATTCAGTATACATAAACAAGGCAGAAAGCAGTAGAAAGTAGACGACGTAGAAAGTATCATCAATTTCCGTCTACTCCTGAAAAGCAGTAATGACGCCTGGACCCTCATCCCTCAAGAGAGCCATTAGTGTTGTTGACAAATTTAATACAAGAGGCATAAAAAAAGAAGTGATTTTTACTCGAGCCGACGAGGTCAAGTGAGTAGGGCAGTCAGTGATGTTTGTATGTGTGTGTATGTGTGTGTGTATGTATGTGTGTGTGTATGTGTGTGTGTGTGTGTGTGTGTGTTTTGTGTGTGTGTGTGTGTGTGAACCTAAACGCATAACTACCAATCTAAAGATAACCAGAGGCTTATATGGTTACTGGGTCAGGAGGTCACGAGGTCATGAGGTCACGGAGTCACGAGGTCAGAGGTCAGAGCTCAAAGATGGTCGAGGGATCTTACCCAGGTACCACACTATCATTGGTCCTACATTTAAACTACAGGCACTGTCATGTGAATATTACTGTCCGTGTGTGTGTGTGTGTGTGTGTGTGTGTGTGTGTGTGTGTGTGTGTGTGTGTGTGTGTGTGTGTGTGTGTGTGTCTCCCTTCCTGTTACCTATTACATTATCATCTTTCTTTCTTTCTTTTAAAATTTTTTCCCTTCTCTCCATCATACCTCTTTCACACACTTCTCTCATTCCCTCCTCCTTTATTTCCATCTCTCTCTCTCTCCCCTCTTTCACTCTCCCTCACTCCTCTTCCACAATCTTCCTTATCATCCACCCTCCCACTTCCTTCTATATCACCCAGTTCCCTCTTATCACCTTCGTCTCTGTGGCAAAGATTTCCCTTATCTCCCCCCCCGGGCCTTTCCTCACCCCGCCAGCTCATTAACTTACAGCTTTCAATTTCGACGGTGCAGTTCTGGCTGTCGAGAGGGTAGTAGTGAAGGTCCATCATACAGGCGAGTGTTGTGGTGAACCGCATCCCGTAAGTTATAGATCCGTCACCATGCAGCCTCACTAACTTGTTCTTCTCCGTAACGTCGTGCAGGTAACTGGTGAAAGGAAATGAAATTAAGTTATAATCCTCCTCCTTCTCCTCCTCCAAAAACAGAAAAATAAGTTAAAAAAAGGTTAGGTTAGGTTAGGTTAGGTTAGGTTAGGTTAAACTAGATTTGGTGATGTTACGCTAGGTTTGGTTTGGTTTGGTTTGGTTTGGTTAGGTTAGGTAAAGTAAAGTTAGGTTAGGTATACTTAAGTTAGGTTTAAGTTTGGTTAGGTTAGGTATACTTAAGTTAGGTTTAAGTTTGGTTAGGTTAGGTAAAGTAAAGTTAGGTTAGGTATACTTAAGTTAGGTTTAAGTTTGGTTAGGTTAGGTAAAGTAAAGTTAGGTTAGGTATACTTAAGTTAGGTTTAAGTTTGGTTAGGTTAGGTATACTTAAGTTAGGTTTAAGTTTGGTTAGGTTAGGTAAAGTAAAGTTAGGTTAGGTATACTTAAGTTAGGTTTAAGTTTGGTTAGGTTAGGTAAAGTAAAGTTAGGTTAGGTATACTTAAGTTAGGGTTAAGTTTGGTTAGGTTAGGTAAAGTAAAGTTAGGTTAGGTATACTTAAGTTAGGATTTACGTTAGGTTAGATTAGATTAGGTTAGATTAGGTTAGGTTAAGTTAAGCTTAGTTTTCGTAATCTACATATAAAAAACGGTATGAGGTTAAGTTCGTGTATAGAAAATATAAATAAACGAATAAGACCAAGAATATTTCATAAGCTGCGTCAGCGTGTCACAAAAAGTCTCATTATTATTATGGTAGTGAGTTAGTCAACATATATAGAGCTGACTGACGTAGCTAGCCCACATGGGTGACCAGGAGGTGATCAAAAGATGCCTCAGTATACGGAGTGGTCAAAAAAAATTCTCTCAGTCTTTCAGTCAGTCTGTCACTGAGAACTGGTGCTCATACAGCTGACTGACGCAGCTAAAATTGGATGGGATAGTTCATTGTTTTGGAAGGTGTAAGTTGCGGCAGAAAACGATGATTAGTGTAGAAAACTGGATGTAAGTAATTAGAACCAGGATAAGGCAAGCTTGTTCAACCTAATCTAACCTAATCTAACCTAACATAATCTAACCTAACTATAAATCTGGCCTAAAGGATAACTTAACCAAACTAAAATAATTGAATCTTAGAGAAACCTAACCTAACCTAACCTAACCTAACCTAACCTAACCTAACCTCCCGAAACGTAACTTAACGTAACTCAACAGGTGGGAGATTCTTAATGAATTTCGCCTCCACTATTTTTTTCTAACAAACAAACAAGATTTATTCAGCGACGCTTCCCCATTGTCATGTTGGTTCACACACACACACACACACACACACACACACACACACACACACACACACACATCCTGTACTCTCATCAATAATCAATACAGTAGTTTATGAAATCTGTTTTAAATTATCTGAGTATATTAAGTGTCAGTTCTCGGTCTCAAGGAAATAGGAATAAAAGTGACAAAATTCATCAATATCTACGTTTTTTTTTTTTTTGCGACCACGATCAGGCGAGGTGTTGGAGACGATGTTAGCCAAGTAAAATATGAAGTGAGATCCCGTAGTGAAGGGGTTAAGAGTGTATTCTACTCTAGGTTATTAATACACTAGTTATCAACAATCTCAGGATTGGGAAACCAGGTAAGAATTAATACTAAGCAGCGTCAGTTGAAGTTGGTCACAATGTTTTCTCAGTCAGTAAGTAATTCTGTTAAAAGAAATTGATAATCTCATTGTTGTCTGACGTAACCAAAGAGAGGAAAAGAGGGAAATGGATGAAGAGGAGTACCTAGTGAAGATCCAGCATAGGGAGAGTCAGGATGCTGGTATCTACAGGAACGATATTATGAGGGTCCTGTTTCGCGCGAGTTGTGATGATCGGCTACCAAGACCAACTCAGGGGAAAGCTCACGATCCAGGGGAAATTGTAGGTTAATTATTTCATGTTTTCGTATATTTTTTTTACACTTTCCTATAAAATTTTTCCTATTTTGCCTATGTGGATAAGAATACTCATGGGGATAAAATATACTTCAGGAGTTTTATACGAAGGCAAAAAAAGTGTTCCTGTCTTGGCTGGTGACCCATAGGCACCACGTTGAAGGGAGGCGAGATGTCTTATCCAATATGTTTTACCGTAATGAAGATAAAAAGAACTCGTGGCCAGCACTGACTATAGGAACTGACCAAGAAGCATTAAGTAAAATATAACAGCTTTGTATATATGTTTACTGTATGTATATAAACTACACAATAAAGTTACCAGCTTGTTCACATGATTACTAATATACAGCTGTTGAGAGATTATTCAGTAAAAGACGGATGGATTACGAGAGAGAGAGAGGAGTGTTCATTGTACAAAAATAAACAGAAGAATCAAACAAAGTTGACGTTACTGATGGCTGTACGATATAAGGTCAGGTTATACATTGAAGTTTATGTCGACTCTGATCAGGTGATGGAGTGGCAGATGTCATATAGTATTTCTGTCAACACCTCAAGACTTTACACCTCACAGCCAGGCACCTCCCGCGACTCTCCTGGGTTGCTGTTGATTTATTCACATTACTCATTCTCTCCTTTCTCTTCTCCTTCCCATTCTCTCATGATTGATAGTAATATTATTCTATTTTTAATCTTCCCTTACTTTAATTACTACCTTTATCCTCACTTCTTTCTTCATCTCTCTCGCTAATTAACCCACATAGTCTCTTTCTATCTTACATTATTATCTTGTTATTAAGTTCTTTCTACTCTACTCTACCTTCCTCCTATACTACTGACAACCACCAACCTTCTCACTCGGCTCAGGTCTTGACGGGGGGTAGTACAGTATGTTTCGTTTGATTCGAGTCTTTGGTGTTTTCGAAGTCTGATACGAAGGAGATAGTGAACCATATTACAACTTAGAGTTATTAAGGTATATTAATATTGGGTTTAATCATAGTTTTCCATTTTATTTTGTTCGACTTGCCGTTTTCATGAGTTATCCACACACACACACACACACACACACACACACACACACACACACACACACACACACACATGGATAGACAGACGTATACTACTGCCATGTTCCCCGCCCGAGGAGACGAGAGAAAAAAAAAATCTCACCCACCCGGCCATTTTGCCCACTACCCACCCTGCCCTCCTTCCTCACCACCCACACCACCCACCCTGCCACACCACCTCTACCACTACTCGCTGCTCTAACACCTGCTGTAGTCACCTGTGTTACTAGTGAGTGGCCAGGCACCTGTGTCGTTGAACAGACACCTGCATCACTGATCAAGTCACCATTTATTCGTCTCACTGAGTGGTGTTGCTCTTCAGTTAACAGTCAACCACGAAGAAGTAATAGCGATGTGTTATTTGTGGTATCAGTAAGTGGGTGGCTCTGCTCCAGTTAACAGTCAACCATGGAGAAGTAATAGCGTTTTTTGTTGTTGTTATTACTGTGGCATCAGTGAGTGGGTGGCTACGCTCCAGTTAACAGTCAACCATTTAGAATTTACGGTCTGTCGTCCTCGCTGTCTTGTAGAATTATTGTCTCCTTAGGTGTCCAGGGGGACTCAGTGCGGTCCGGGCCATGACGTCGGTCTTTCAGGATGCTGTTAAGGAGATACGTCTCGACAGGTGAATCATTATACGCGACAGGTGAGGCCAGGGGGCGAATTAGCTATTTCCCGTAACCAAAAATTCTCTCGTAGGGGGAAAAGAAATTATAATGGTCGAAATTTCTCAACCAAAACATCCCCCGGAACTAATCTAATCTTGAAGGTTTGGTTAGATTAAGTTGGGTTAGGTTTGGTTAGATTAAGTTGGGTAAGGCTTGGTTAGATTAAGTTGGGTTAGGTTTGGTTAGATTAAGTTGGGTTAGGTTTGGTTAGATTAAGTTGGGTTAGGTTTGGTTAGATTAAGTTGGGTTAGGTTTGGTTAGATTAAGTTGGGTTTGGTTTGGTTAGATTAAGTTGGGTTAGGTTTGGTTAGATTAATTTGGGTTAGGTGATTAAGTTGGGTTAGGTTTGGTTAGATTAAGTTGGGTTAGGTTTGGTTAGATTAAGTTGGGTTAGGTTTGGTTAGATTAAGTTGGGTTAGGTTTGGTTAGATTAAGTTGGGTTTGGTTTGGTTAGATTAAGTTGGGTTAGGTTTGGTTAGATTAATTTGGGTTAGGTTTGGTTAGATTAGTTTAGTTTTAGTTTGATTTGGTTAGGTTAGGCTTAGTTAGGTGGGTTTGGGTTGAGTTTGGTAAGGGTAAGGTTGGGTTGGGTTGGGTTGGTTAGGGTAGGGTAGGGTAGGGTAGGGTAGGGTAGGGTAGGGTAGGGTAGGGTAGGGTAGGGTAGGGGAGGGTAGGGGAGGGTTAGATTGGATTGGGTTGGGTTAGGTAAGATTAGGTTAGGTTAGTTTAGAATTAGGTTGGGTTTGGCTTGATGTTAAATTAGGTTTACTTATTCTAGATGAGTTAAGATTAGTAAGGTTTAAATAAACTAAGTTCAAACAAGATTAGAGCGAGAGAAAAAAAATTGATTAAGTCAGATTAAGTTTTTCTGCAATACTTCGACTTCTGTATATTATTTTCTTCCTTGTTAAGAGAATTTCTGGTTTAGGAAAAAAAAATACACTTTGCGATTGAGGAACTATGGCGAAGATGAGCTCCCTGGACACACCTGTCTTATAAAATGATTTAGAGTGATTAAACCAATTACTCTCACCTATGTAGTCTATACCAACGAACTTACTCATCGTTTAATACTATAACACGAAGAAAAATATACCCCTTTAACTTTCACTTAATAGAGAAACGACTTTTTTGGGGGACATAAATCTGATTAATTTTTATAGGGTATTTTTTTAGTAATTTTTAAATCATAAAACTTCAGATCGATTTTCTGTTTTATTAAGTTCCTGGGATATTTTTTTCTTCCTAAATTGTAAGGAATTAAACTATAGGTTGTAAGTGTTGTTAATCCCTGTTGTTCAAATGTACTTTTAGTGCTA